GACCCAGATTAATGTGAGAGTGGAAAAACGTTCCTGGGGTTGTACTGAGAGCCAGTAACCCTAACAGGAAGTTGAGCAACGTCAGGAGCAATTGTTCACGTTCAGTTTTATCTATTTCTGTATTTCAGCTCCAAAACTCAATCGAGAAACTTATCCGGCAGAACGAAGAATTGTTGCGAAAGAATTCGTCATTACAAAAACAAGGACGGATGATCGTCGAAGAGAAATGTAATTTATCGACGGGTAATGTTTCAAGTTGAAATCGAACAAATTTGCAGCGTCGGAAGGAAGGATACCCTCTGTTTCAGAAAACCAGAAGCGCGTCGAGTGCAGACCACACACCACAAGTGACGACGGCCTCCAAGTAAATCTGGTAACTAGTGATTCATAGTGATAGCTGATAGTTGGTAAATGATAGTTGTAATTAGTGACAACTAGAATACAACTGCAACAGGCTAATCATTTCATTGGCAGAAAACATTCACATTTTGTGGAGGCCGTCGTCACTTGTGGTGTGTGGTCTGCACTTGACGCGCTTCTAGTTTTCTGAAACAGAGGGTAGACGAGAACATAAAAGGGAACCTTTTTTTCTGCTAATTGCACCCAATCTGCCCGGACGGACCACACGAAGTGCTACCGATTTCAGGTTGGAAAAAACTGAGGAAGCGAACATTCAATTACGACGATTACTTAGCGATACGGATCGGGTCTGTAAAGATCTACAGCAAGCCAATCAAGTATGTTCCATTTGGATACTTACAGAAATGAGCCATACTGCAAAATTGCTGTGTGACCACCTAGACCTGGAATTGCGCTATCGCAGGATACGGAGGCATGCCTCGAAACTAAGCCTAGGAAGGGGGAGGGACTCCGGGAAATTGCTCACACACTTCGGATCTGTCTCGTCCTTCTCCCCAAGCTTAGTGCCAGTTATAACAGAAAAATGTATGTCGCGGTTCTAAATGCGTTGCCGCCGCAATGCGCCCCCATCTTGCGATAGCGCCCAATAGTTGTGGATCTCATCGATATAGCACATTTTTCCAATGGTGGGTTCAGTCGCTTTGCCAAACTGGTTCTATGGCTGATTTCAGGTCGATGACGAGCCCCGATTTACGTTGGCTGAATTACGTGAAGTGCTACAGGAGAAGAACGTGCTCAAAGGACGAGTAATGGAACTTGAAGAGGAGCTGGAGAATCTCCGACCAGGACGGAAGGAACGCGAACGCGACGATCTTCTAAGGTAATTTTCGTTATGTAGTTCTTCTAGCACTGTCGTCTGTCGTCCTTCTACCATGGCGGTGTCGGGAAAGGCGCGCTTCTCCTACACTGCACAGAAGCTCAACCTCTTAATCACTCCACGCCTTATCGGAGCCGTTTTTTCTCCGAGGTTTTCTAGTTGTTTCTGGGATTTTGTGAATGAAAGCGCTTATTTGAGAATGAGAATTTGAGAGGTCTTGAGAGTGAAAGATAAACAAGGAGAGAGAAAATCGTGGGTGGAGAAAGTCAGAAAGAATGGGATATTCAGAAACAAGTGCATTTCTCCGGTGAGCATGAATCACTTCCGCGATCTTTTTATGAACACAAATGCATGGCGTATCCCAAGTTTGTACGTGGATGCTACTTCTGCTGCTATTCTTGAAAATATTCCCGAATCTCACAAGTCTCTACCACTCATTGTTATCTGTCAGCCGTAATCACCGCCTCAAATAACATTTCATGACACATTTCGGTGAAGTCACACTTAACACACCTAATCCTTACGCCTAATCGTTTTCTGACCGTATTCCTCCTGATAAAATCGAAATTTGCCTTCAGTTCTCCAACAGATCCCTCACCATCGCCGTCGGTCAGCCCTATAAGTCCGCACAATTCCTAGCCAGGTCAATTATTATTTTTTGTTCAGTTTGCATTTTCCACTGATTTTTTCCCTGCTCAATTTTTATCCATCGTTTTTTAGGTGGTCCAAAATCAAGTCAATCATTCTGACCCATGCATTCAAAATCATCTAGAGAGTATCAGCCAACGTGTATTTTTGCTCAGGAGAAATTTATTGATTGAATACGGTAGAATAAAATCTGTGATATGATATGAATTGATTTCTGATAACAGATTGAACATGATTGATTTTTGTTTTTAAAAATGTGTTCTTTGAATTTATTTCAATCAGGGCCAAGGGCTGATTCTCTTTATGTTGATGTCTGATTTGGTATTTATTCTGCTGGGTTTTGTTAAGGTCACCCTTGATCATTAGATGGATACGCCGTGGCATTCACTGCTTAGCGAATTCAACAACAGCATTTGAAACTGGAATAAGCAGACGATGTATGTTGCGGTATCTCCCAGTGTCGTAGAGAATGAAGTGATAGGCAAATAGATTGGCGAGGTGCAGCGCTCGTTGACCCTCATGGATGCGCCACGCGCAGGGCTACTATTGGCAATCGTAGAGTCATTTGAAAGCGGTCTATGCTATGGCTTTGCATATTCAACTATGTCTTTACCCCAAAAAAGTTTGGTAGTAATATTTCGCCAAGGACCTTTCAAGCTCTCTAGCAGATTTCGCTTTAATCGATTGCATGAAATAGTTGGGGATCGGCGACTGGTCTATACGCACCAATACCACTGTAAAAAGGCACAGGATCCCACCTTATTCGCAAAGAGTTGGTAGTGGAAACGTAGTGTCTCAACTTAGCACGTTTAAGGCGCGCATGTGTGGTGACCTCCGACCCAACACTACCAGCGTCGCGACCTTATCGCCAATGGTGGAATTAGGTGGAGATGCGGTGTTAATGGTTAGCTCAGCTCTCCTTCTGCCTATACCGTACCTTCATTTTAAATCGCCCTACGTGGATGCGTCGCCTCTTGTCGATCCATGGGAAATTGGCACGGTCATGGTTTATTTCAATATGCAGGAGACTTCTCTGAGTGATTGCGCATTGAAGGGATTGAGAGGGAGAGAGAGTGAGTCGCCGTAACATGGTGAAGCAGTGTGTGAGCCCATCAAACTTGAGCATATTACGGCGACGATGGGGGGCGGAGGGTGCTGCGGTAGTATTGGAATTTGGACTTGCGAGCCTCGAGGAATTCTCATCAAGTTAGTGACCTGTTTGCGGCTTCCGTCAAGCATATTGCGAAGTAGTTTCCCTTATCGGCGGTAGTCCTTGTCGAACGACGACAGCATTCCTTTGTGACACCTTTTTATTTTGGGTAGGAGAGTTCTCATCTCCTTCGCCTTAAAATCCTGGTTCGACAATCACCGTTACATGGCACTCTATGTAGGCATGTGTAGGCTGCATATCACATGGAATACCAGAGCAATTTCTTGCTAGTCTTCCCTGAGAGCCGCTATAGAGAACTGGGAAGAAATGACATGAAAGTGATTGTATGTGATTAATGGGGAGCAGGGAGCAATGCGAAAAAATGAGGCAGTCACAGCTAGACGTCGTTAGGCTATGCAATCAGATCTGGGGATCAAGCTAAAACCCTAGCAACAAACCCTATATTTTGTTTTTTTGCGCGCTATCACCAAGTGTTTTGCGTTGTGCTGGGGATAAAAACACTCTTACTTTAGGCCGGGTCCTCGCCTTTCCATGATAGGACATTGCTACAGCCCATATAAGCATTCGAATAGCACTGTGATTATCAAATGGAAGCGTGATAACTGTTGTGCATTTTCGAAAAGAAAATAACTAAATATCTCCTTCTCGCAAGGACCAAATCTGCATCACAGAGGCAGGCGAGCCTCCTCCAATATACAACTCCTCTAATATATATGTCGCAATGCAACTGTTCGGAGAGCCTCTAGCCAATAAGCCGGCAGCTCACGACAGAGTACACAGAGCTAGCGGTAGTGGTTGGCAGATATCGAACTCACGGACAGGCAATTCAGTGGTACGCTATAGGCAACATATTGCGCTATCCTCAGATTTTGGGGATCATTTAAGAAAATTTCAAGAGCCTATAGAATTTTCGATCGCTTCAGTCAATGTCATTTGTCTCAAAACACTAGTTTCAATGCATGACAGTACAGTAATAAAATGCTACATACAAAATTATCCTGAGAGTAATGACATAGCGCCATTGGACCACTCAAATTCTACCGAAATTTAACTTATTCTCAAATTCACTTTTCCAAGCTACTCGTTCATTCACTGGTCAGCCATTGACAAAATATGCGAATATATTATGTAATATCTAAATTTAAGTGATGAGCCGTCAAGAACGGGTGATGACAGCGACGAAATGCTGGTTTATGGGCCGTTACCAAGAGAACCCGATGAAAAGCTCTATCCTTGGAAGTATGAACGAAAGGATAGCGGTGTGCGGAAATTGTAAGTTTGACGCTCTAGAATAATTCGTCAGTCATTAAATTATTTTTATTTATTGTTGTTTATTTATTCATGACTATTGGCTTATTCATTTATTTTATTTTATGTGCATTATTTTCATATTTCATCGTATTTTATATAATTAATTATAATTATTGTATATAATTTATGTAATTATTATCAATTATAATTATAATTACTTATTATAGTTTCATTATATTAGGCGACTTATTTTACTTATAGCTGTTCTAATGCCTTTCTGTAGGTAGTATAATTTGGGCGTCTATTTTAGTTAATATATTTTTATTCAATTTTATTTATAATTATTATTACTTACTATTTATGTATTATTTATATATTATTACTATATATTATTTATTACTTGTGAATGTTTATTTGTCTGCTTATGAGCTTTTTTTGTATCTCGATCGATTATTGATTGATTGGTTTGCCTTTCAGCTTCCGCTTCTTCAAAGAATTCGGAACGAATCCATCGCCACGACGTGGCTCATCGGCAACGAGCTCGCCACACCCGCAGCGTGCGAATCCGCCGGGAAATTGAGCATTGCAATTTCACATAACTTCTTCATATATATCATATATCTATACATATAATTATTATGAGAAATCGATATGATCTGGACTCTATGATGTCTCAACTATCGCGCTACGATTCTTTCTCACGGTCTCATCATCGTCATACCAAAACACCACCCCGAGTAATTGACACTCCCTCCATCAGCGGGACGGCATCGGGTTCATTTGTGACAGTTGTCCGGTGTCGGTGGAGCACCGTTACGCGGACAACTGTTACTGCTCTTGGCAGCCAGCACAAACCACTCTACTAACCAAAAACTTAACTTATTTATGTGAATCTGATGCCGACAAAACTTCACGAAAATTATGGATCGAACGAGGTGTGGATATGCCAAACGACTGATTGATAAGCTATCTTCGATTAACTATACTTACTTTTTATGCGTAGTAATTCTGTCGCTAGCCCTACTAATTCACTGATTGACCAATCTGTTATGTTTTTAGATCGCCATGTAAGTAGATTTATATATGCGTGTATTCAGAGAGATAGACCCCGCCCGCGATATCTAACAGTACCCATCTCGATGTCAGAGACGCAGAGTTGGCGCATGTCTGGTTGTCTGTGCGCTGACCGCCAGATTTACTTGCTTTCTTTCTCTAATTTCTCTATCTATCTCTCTTCTTTGTCTATCTTAGTCTGTACTCATCCAAAAATGGGTTACCAAACTCGAAATCTGGTCAGTTTCTGGCTTTTGTTTTATTGTTCGACACCGTTGTGAATCTCACGTTAATAAACTATTGATTTTCTTTTGTTATGAACTGCGTTATCGATTTTTTTTGCCGAGAAATATCTCCCCAACAAATGAGGATGTAGCGCATTTAACAACCTCATGTATTGTGAAGGTCAGAATCAGATTAACGTCTGGCGTTGTGGATGCGACGTGGCACGGTGCGCGGGTCTGCACCATGTGATCGCCGCGCCGCAACCGCGCGCGTCCCAGCCATGCAAACCACTCGGCCTTGAATTGTGTCAGCGTAACCCAGATCATTGTATATATCATTTATGTGGTGGGAATACAATCCAAAAGAGGTAATTCACTTTATTTTTGCGTTAGACATGAATTCGGTTGTTGGCAACCATCCGCCTTAAGTCGAGATCCTTTCGAATATCACGGATAATAGGCGGCCATAAATATCGTGGGTGGCGTTTACACCAAAGACGAAATCCAAGTGTGAGTAATGCGGCAACTCGTAGCTTGCTCGAATCGTCGCATTCATCTTTTCCAATATGGCCTCTCTGAAATTATTGATTTATTGACGGGCTTGACCTGACGCGACTTATGGACTGTGTTCGACTCTTGAAGTGCCAATATTGGGTGCCATTAAATTTAAGTCGCGACAGCTTCGAAAGAGACATTCGCAGACCGCCGTGGTTGGTCGCGCACTCCAACTATCATAGCATTACTGCCAGAACCGCAACCCGACTATGATTTAATTTTGTTTTGATCGTCATCCATCTGACTGAAACAAAATAGGTCAGCTCAGAATACGTTTCGCAAACCGTGAGGTCCTACAAACGCCACGCAACCGCGCGCAGCTAATTACTGATATCACGTATGTTGGTATCGAAGGCTTCAAGATAAGCCAGTTCGGTTACGGAATTGTTCTCGGAGGTATCACGTGGATTGCATAGTAGTCACATTTTCTAGCATAGTTGTACCAATTTTTGCTGCCTCAGAAATCTTTTGGGCGTTTTTAAGAATTATTCCAGCTTAGTCGTTTTTATACTCAAAAGATTGTTACCGTATATCTTCGGTATCGGCCAGGATGTCATCTTTGCTCCAATAAAGATAGGTTGGCGTGTGAATTTTCCGCAAGTCATAGTGAGGTGGAAATTTCTGAAAATGGAATCGAAAACTTTTAAAGGAAACATTTTATCTTTAAAGATCGCACCTCTCCATATTCTCCCGCATGTTTCCTTCTTCACCGTAGTCGAATTTTTCCAATTTTCGCGATTTCACCACCTAAATTTCTTGAAGGAGGTTCAAAAAAGAAAACAGAAAGAAAGGAAATAAAACCGCCAATTATTGCTTCAAAAGCGCAATTTTTCGAGAAGAAGGTATGAAAACCTCAATGCAGTAGTGCTTTAAGGGGAATTTCCGGAGAATTAGAAGAATTGGATCATATTCCCGGCAATGTTGAACTGTCCGCAATTTGTTACAATTAGGCGGCCGAAAGACGCTACGTGATGTTGAGTGACGCTGTCGATGCCATCAAGATGCCGTTAAAAATGAAAAAAAAAATGTTGAAGTGAGTAAAGTGAAGAGAGGAGATGCCATACTTCTGGAAGCGACGATGGCGTCACCGCGCGCTCTCGGAACGCGACTTGGCAGCATTAGCTGCGTTTCCTTCGCGTAGGTCCAGTTGAAGAGCGTCAAGGTGCACTTCTTTCGAAAAAACGAGAACAGCGTCGAGTGCGGACCACACACCACAATTGACGACGGCCCCCAAGTAAATCTGGTTAGTAGTGATTCACAATGATAGCCGATTTTAGGTAGATAGCTATATATTAGTGATTTACTTACTTATTTACCAGATTTACTTGGGGGCCGTTGTCGGTTGTGGTGTATATTCTGCACCTGACGCTGTTCTCGTTTTTTGAAAGTATGTTAATGTGATAGTCGTTCGCTAGGCGTGGTGTTATCGTGGCGCCGAGTACCCGGCTGAAAAGTAGCGCTCCTCTGTTTGTGCAGACGGACAATGGATGTGCGAAAAAATTTTCGTTTTAACAGCGTGCTTCATATAACATTCTTGAAATCAGAAAGATTTGCTTAAGAGGCAAAGTTCGGGCTCAGACCCACCTAATAAGCCCTTAAAGTGGCTAGAAGTGCATGGGACGCAGCTGCAGGCGACTCGCCAAGTTCCCGCATCCAAATGCGTCACTAAGGCGCTAGGGGCCAAGGACTTTGACACGCTCCTCCTGTTGCGACACGCTCCGCCCACCGCTCGATATTTTGTCTGCGTCGCAATGCTGATCTGCTATGCTCTCTCTTCTCGGATTTCTCTACCGCTCTCCGCGCTCACATTATCTCTCATCTCCCTGCCGGCCTTTTGAACTTCTCCGCAACGTAGAGCAAAAGGCTCGTATTTCCTGTGTATTTCAGGATTTTTTTCCTTTTTTCTCCACTGGCGGTCACCCTCCGCCCCTACATCACATTTGAGTAGAATTACCTCATCAGTTCAAGCTTGAATCTTGCCTTTAACGAAACTAAAATTATCAGATAGCTGTATTAGACATCGCCGATTGATAGGCGGACCAACGTCTAGGACTTGCGAACATGTGGCAAGTGCGGGGCCAGGGTCGAGGTAGCGTTTGGAGGAATCAATAGTGAACCTCACATTAGGATGCAGAAAAAGGACTAATGCAGGGAATAAAATTTTGTCTGGGGAAGTTTACAAACTTTTCAAAAACCTAGAGAAAATCTGGGAAATTGACGGAAAGCTAGAAGGAAGACGTAAGTGCAAAATTGGGTTGCAAACTGCAAGATCTCCTAAACGCGTCGTCCACCCTATCCCACAAGGCTATTTTACGATCACAGACTGTGAGTATGGGATCAAAAAAGGATAGTGGGGGTAAAAAGGGCTATATGGAATGGGCAGGGCTTTAAGGCACACTAAGGCACCATAAAGGCTACAGTGGAAGAAGAAACTGAAGAGGTTGTTGGGAACAACCTGAAAGTCCCTCTTTATAGTTTATTCAGAGCATTGAACGAGTTTACGGCGATGAAATTGCGTGTTTGAACGAGAGAATTTGGAAACGAGGAAATGAGAGACGGTAGAGAAATGAGAGACGTAGACAAGAGTGGGAGATGTGAAGAGAGGCGGAGTTGACAGCGTCTAGGGCCTAGTGTCGACGTTTGTAAGCCCTCCTCTGTTGAAATAACGTGACATTTCGCCTCTTCCAGCACCTAGGCAGCTTATCACTAGCTTAACAAATCCCATGCGGTTATCAAGGAGTGTGCCTTGAAAAGCTTGAGAACTGCTTTTATCCACCCAGAGGAATAGTTAATGCTTTGCCAAGGATTTTATGGGAACCAGGGGCGTGTTTGGGACTCGAAAGGGTAGCCAACATCGAGAGAGACTGAGATGTTCAAAAAATGCTCAGAAATTCTATACAATCTTGAGGTATATGCTCTTGAAATGAGGGTATCCCCAGGAGGCCCGTCGCGCGGCAAGAAGGCAGAGTCGGCGGACGAGTTGCAGCGCGTGGTGTGCGATGTAGGACGTGCAGTGGGACACTCTATTTAACTTGACGCGAAATCCCTATAGTACGCGCGCGACTCGTCCGCTGACTTTGCCTTCTTGCCGCGCGACGGGCCTCCTGGGGGTACCCTTGCAATGAACTATGTAGATTAACGGCTAATGGGCGTGGCCAATAGGATAAAGGATAAAGGATAAAGCATTTGCCGTTGATCAATCCCTTTTTGGGATGCGGCACGCATTCTACTTCCATTTGTACATTCGTAGTGGCGTTTGAATGCGATGTGGCCTATACAATGACTTGCGGGGGCCAGCCGATGTACAAGTCAGTGTTTTTATCCTCCCAGACAAGTCTGGTACCAATTAACCGACCCCGGAGGGATGGAAGGCTTGGTTGGCCCGGGCGACTCACGACCCAGGATTTGATCCCCGGACCGCTCGCGTGGTAAGCGTGCCACTTGCCACTACACCACTTCCGCCCGGCCAAAGTAGACAATAGCATTAGGTACCCGACAAAAGGCCCCTCGCGTGGCGAGTCGGCAGTGACGTAAATGGGCCACTGAACGAGTTGCAGCGCGTACTGTAGCGGTTGAGGGTCAACTCGAAAAGAGTGTACCATAGGGCTTTCCACCGCCCATTACGCCCAGCGACTCGTCCCCCGACCCGTCGTGCGGCGTAAAGGCAGAGACGCGGGCCCGTCTGCGTCCCAGCCTTTCTGCCGCGCGACGGGCCTCCTGTCGGATATGCAGCAACATTAGCCAGTAATAGAAAGGGGAGAGGCTGCTATGTTGGGTGATATTCAATTTTCTTTTGAAAGGGAGGGTAAGGCTCAGATATGGTGTAAGGACTTTTGGGAAGCTTTTTTTTCGAGTTTTTTGCACAAAATTCTGGAATTCGACAGGCATTTCGGGACTTTGCAGGTTCCACTCCTATTTTGACTCTACTGTATATCACTCTCTCTCCCCAACCCCAGCTCACATTAGTTTTTTGAGTAAAGGTTGTTGTAGCTCCAGGTTGGAGCAGGATCGCCTGCAGATGGGACTGAGTTAAGGACCCGCAACTTTGGGGGGGGGGGGCGGGTGAGGCGAGGTTTCATCCAAATTCTTCGCCGCATACCTAGCGCGACCTTAACAAAAGCTTAATTTTTGATACAAAATTCAACCTGAATCCAGTGCAGAATGTTCTTCGATGAGGTAGCGGCTGGCATATGGCACAGGTAAGTGCCGACTCGGGTCTGAAGCCGAAAAATCAATAAAATCAAACAACATTTACGAATTTTCAAATTTATTATTTACCCTGTTAAACATTTTCTCCGTGCCATCGATAAAACCGATGTCCAGAGTGCAGACTCCTTGAGCAATCGGTAGGCTGGAATGCCCAATGCCCAACCATGAGGTAATTAATAAAATCAATAATCGAAAATGGAATAGGAAAACTGGCTAATTATCGATCGACGGAAGGAAAATAGTCTTTTCTCACCTGCAAAAATAGCTCATAATTTTCTGTATGAATTTCGGAAACATTAGCGGGGCGTTCGGAAGTCTAGCCAGCAGGAACTGAAAATCGATTCGTATTTCAATCATAACCTTTTGCGATTCATTGTGTATAAGTTCTTTGCTGGTTTTGTAGCGCGATGGATAACAGCGCAGTTATCACAGGAGTCATACTAGCCAGCTCACTAGTTCGATCCCTGTCTATCTTATCTGAGACGATAGACTTATTGCAGGGATTCCTGCTCAGGGGCTCTGAGCTTT